AACTAAGCAAATGTGCATTGCACATTGCTTGCACCTAGTATATATATATTTGGCGTGTTTACGGTTAAACTAAAACAATCTCTAATTATTTTCCCACCACAGCGCGGGAACAATATCCTCGTCATCACGTGCTTTTATTTTATTTGAACAAATCATACACGCGCGTTTATACATACAACGAATATATACAAAACAACCCCGCTACCCAAGTTCCTAGCATAAATAGAAGTCATCCAGTTCACAGTTAGTTCGAGACCTCTATTTTCTGTTTTTCTTCTTTCCATATTTTCTCTTCTGGCCAAAAGGCAAGCAAAATCCGTAGTCATGGATTGGGTTCGCGGTGAAAAATTGGGCTTTGGAAGTTTTGGGAGTGTTAATTTAGCAGTACCCATAAAACAAACCTCTCAATTTACTCCTTTAATGGCCGTGAAATCTTGTGGGGTTTCACAAGCTACTTCACTGATGAACGAGAAATTGGTACTGGACGAGCTTAAAGATTGCCCAGAAATCATTCGTTGCTTCGGAGAAAGTTTTAGTTACGAAAATGGCGAGAAATTATACAATGTATTGTTGGAGTATGCTTCCGGTGGCAATTTGGCTGATAAATTAAAGAATTCTTCTTATCAGAGGCTGCCGGAATCTGAAGTCTGGTGTTACACCAAAGCTTTGCTCAAAGGGCTTCACTATATTCATAAGGTTGGTTATGTTCACTGTGATATTAAGCTTCAGAACATTCTTTTATGCCCGGATGGTGGTTTAAAGATTGCGGATTTTGGATTGGCGAAGAGGGCCGGGGGAAAAGAAGAGGGTGTTTTGAGTAATGAATTAAGGGGCACGCCTCTGTATATGTCGCCGGAGATGGTTGCCAGAGGCGAGCAGGGTACCCCTGCTGACATATGGGCACTTGGTTGCGCGGTGGCGGAGATGATCACTGGAACACCGGCGTGGCGGTGCTCCAGCTTGGCGGCGCTGCTGATGAGAATTGGTGTTGGTGAGGAGGTGCCTGAGGTACCAGGTAATTTATCAGGAAAAGGAAAAGATTTTCTTGAAAAATGCTTTGTCAAGGACCCAAGTAAAAGATGGACGGCTGAGATGCTTCTAAATCATCCATTTGTCGCGGATCAAGATTTTGGTGACGCTGAAAATATTGCCTTCACCTCTCCCAGATGCCCATTTGATTTCCCTGATTGGGCATCACCAGTTACATCTTCTCCAGAACATTCCCCAGAATCTAATTCCTGGTTTACCGGCAACTCAAATATGACAAGTGAGTCATGGTCCACTTCGCCGGAGGAGAGGCTGCAGGGGTTAATAAGGCATCAAGATCCTGATTGGTCTGTTTCAGATGATTGGATCACCATTAGGTGATAGAAGAAATAATCATATTCACATTTTTTTTTTTTTAATGAAGATTTTATTCTTCAGGCACTGAATTATTATTATTTAGTGCTTAATTTGAGGATAACAAATTAACAATCAGAAAATTTTAACATCTTGGTTGACGTAATGACACATGATAGTCTGTCATTGACCAGTTAAAAAACAATTTTTCCATCAATCATTCACTGCCACCAATGCATATCGTCTAAGGTGGTAAATTCATCTGGCAAGAAAGCATTATTTCTGATGGTAATTTTTCTGTTGTACATAAAACTTGATAGAGAGGGATACATGCAATGGATGCTTGTACTTTCTGACTTCATAGAAGGATACTGATTGGAGACTTAGAATCTGATACCTTGATTGTACAGTTTAGCTAATGTGAGTAATAAAACATTAAATCAATTTATAATTTTTTTACTTGGAAAAATGAGAGTTGAAGTGTTGCTTGGGTTGTTAGGCAACAGTCTTGATATTTTGCCCAATTGATTTTCTACTTGCAAGATTTACTGGGATTCTGCAGCTTTCTTGCAACTTGCTAGATTCAACTTTCTGTTCATATCAATAACCCAAGATTACATTAGAAATAACCAAATAAACAATAGATCCAGCTTGAAATTTGTGCACATATATAATCACTGAACAAGCTATAGTCCGTACTTTTTAAAGTTGATTTCTTCTTTTTATCTTAACTTCAATTGATTTTGTTTTTTCTAGGGGGCACAAAACTTTTGAACTGAATCGAATCGAATCGAATCGAAGTAATCGAATCGAGCGGTTCTTCATAAGTTAAATACCCGAACGGGTATTTGAATCGAGAACCGACGGATTTGGTTCAAATCCCGTTTCTAGACCCAAATCCGAATAAGAACCGAATTTAAATCATTATTTTAATTATTTATATTGAATTAATTTTTTTAAATCTTTTTTAAATGAATTAGCAAATTAACTAATTTAGTTATTAATGTTCTAAATTCCCATCCAAATTCATGCCTAACTAGCCCAGCCCAACCCAATTTCTAAATTCAATTTTTTGGTTATATTATTAATTTCATTTTTAGTCAAAGATCTAGACTTTTTAAAGTTTTTATTATTCTCTTTCTAATTTCATATTTTCATTCGGTATCTACTGAGTCACTGGCCCCAAATTATTTGATAAATTGAAAACCTGTATCCACATGCCCAAATCGAAAGAGTTGACTGTCGAGTCCGACTTCCCCTCTCCAATGCCCATCGAAGTTGCGACCTCCAACCACGACCACTGATCGTTGACCATTAGAAATCT